GAAATGGTCATGGTACTGCACGCTTCTTTGTATTCACTTGCACTACAAAAATAAAGAATTTAAAATTTACAGCTATCGACCATATACCACAAGACAGAAGAGGTGATCACAGAGGCCAACTTCTACTCAGAGAAGCCTATTGGATCTACGGATTAAACACCGTATCTCCCAGAGGACTTAATGAAAGTTTACTCTTTAATTCTTTCTTATAATTTATAACCAGCTTGAGTAATAATATATGTATGTATTGCCTTGATCTATCATAGCTTAATGTGTATATATAGTGAATAAGAATTTTTAATTAGTGCTCTAAGTCATGCAAGTTCATATTTTTTCCTAACTGTATGCACTTTATTACACTATTCATGGTATCTAGTAACTCCATACAAGTATCCATTACACGAGGATAATATCGGAGTATAATTTTTCTACTTGGATCTTAAAACTAGTCATTTTTTTTTTTTTTTTTTTTTTTTTTTTTTTTACACACACGATTTATCACTCAGTCTCTTTTGAGGGACAATATAAGACACTCAACATTATTTATATGCATGTGGCACTTTAAAGTCTTTAAAGTCTATTCACAGCAAGTTATCTACACTTCATTTTTAGTGATTTGACACGTAATTGTAGATTATGCTAACGTAGTGTACCTATAATCTTAATTTTAATAATGACAGGAGGCGAATATTTTGCATAACTTTCTTTACTGTATGCCTCCAGCAGCACAAGTCAATCAATAAACTTTAAACCAATCAGTAACAGGCATCACATCCACATATAAAGCCCTGACAGACATATGACTTCCTCTTTCTTTGATGCGAAAACAGTCTATTATAACGTCAGGGAATTCAAATAACAGTCCTGAGTAACGTATAGTACATAACTTGAAACGAAACTTAAAACCTTCCAGCTTTATCTTGTCGAATCCATCTCTGATGATTACGCTGAAAAGAACAGAAATACATGAAAGGTGATGGAAACCAACTGTTGTCTACATTAAATCCAGTACTATACGTATCTATATTTATATTAAGTTAATATAC